TTATTTGGACTGGGTAAAGGGGGGTGTTTTTTTTTTACTTTTTACTTAAACGTTGTTAAAACTTTTTTTTCAACTTAATTTTTAACTTTTTAAAGCTTATTTTAAAACTTTTTTAACGTTAACCCCTAGTTAGCCTAACACCAAATCACCCAATTTCCCACTAACTTCCACCCACCCCAGCTAGCTAAATTTATCATTTTAAAATACTTAAATTAATTAATAAAATAAATTTAACCCCTGAGGGTTAAAAAAAAAAAGAATTAACCCTAAGGGGTTAAAAAAAAAATTAGATCATAGTAAAATGTAATCCCTGCCAATTGATCACTGTAGTCAGGGAAAGGGTTAATTTTTTATTAAAATGGGTAAAGGGGGGTGGGATTTTAAATTAACTTTATTTTTTTTTCTAACAGGGACAAGATCAGTGATGATCCGTGAACCCGGAAGTGCAGGGAGGCGGAAGGTGAGTATACTGGGCACATGTGCTCGCTCTGAGAGCCTGTCAGAGCGAGCACCGGTTCTGGGACAGCCCGATCAGGTGCTCTAGGTCTCCCTAATACAGAGGCAGACCGGAGCACCATTAACCCCGCGATCGCCGCAATTGCGGCGATCTGGGGTTAATTTTACCCCGTGAGTGACAAGGTCCGTCACTCGTCGTTAAGGGTTTCCCCTCTGTGACGGACCTTGTCCGTCACTCGCCATTAAGGGGTTAAAGTAGAAAAACTACCACAACAAGAGGACATAGTCTTAAATTAGAGGGGCAAAGGTTTAAAAATAATATCAGGAAGTATTACTTTACTGAGAGGGTAGTGGATTCATGGAACAGCATTACAGCTGAAGTGGTAGAGGTTAACACAGTGAAGGAGTTTAAGCATGCGTGGGATAGGCATAAGGCTATCCTAGCTATATGACAAGGCTAGGGACTAATGAAAGTATTTAGAAAATTGGGCAGACTAGATGGGCCGAATGGTTCTCATCTGCCATCACATTCTATGTTTCTATGTTTAATGTTTGGACCGGTGGGGGTTATCCCAGTCCCCACTGGGGAAGCAGCCACACTTGCCTGCATCTGCAAAAATCTTAACACAGAGGCACTTAGGCCTGCTTTACAAGATGGCGGTGGGACTACATGTAGCTGATTGAACGTAGCAACTAGCCGCTGACCTCACTAAAGACGACTGGCTGTTCGAGTGCTTCTGGGAGATGTTGCATCAGCGAGCGAAGGCACACTTACCACTCTACCATCAACAAGCCGGAGACTGGCACTCTCGGAACCCCAGGCTGGCAGAATTGAGTGTTATTCCAGTCACATTCGCACTCTGGGAACCAAACGAAGTGGATGCCCCCCTCTTGCCCACACCCACAGATTGTATTGCGCCAGAGGTGTAAGCAACCTCCGAAGTTGCGGCTTCCCTGGAAAAAGGGCCCGGACTTTGTTAATGTCTGGGACAGTGGAGCTGGAGTGCAGGTTCCTGTGAAGGCCAGGGGCTGGCGTGATGTGGTTTCGGGGTTCTCATGGGGCTCCTGGGAACAGATCAACACCTTTGTGCCATTGCTTAGCGAGGGGATAGGCTGATTTATTATCGCCATGTTGCTGCCAGTCTGACAGTCAATTGCCACTGATTCTCAGTCAAATTACTTTTATGCCAACTTATTGAGTTGCGGGGTCCCCAAGGGGCTTATATACACTCAGTCGTGGTAATCGTTAGCCTAATATGCCTACATTTATCTATGTTTTATCAAGCTGGATAACAAGCCTGACTAATCAGCTACATGTCTTACACCCTGTTTACACCCTGTTTATTTTTTCATAAGAATGCATATCTTGAGTTTAATTTGTACCTAGACATGTATGCCCAGCACGAATCCTCGTATTATTACTTTCAAATTGTGCAGTTTAGCATGACATTTCAAGCATTAGCTATACGCCTGTTTTTCTCTCATTCTGTTTTCTGTTTTTTATTTTTGGAGTGCATAGGATAACAGGCAAAATTGCTGAGATATTTCAATACAGTATATATGACAAGAGAAGAATATATGTGTAACAGGACATATCAAGGATCCTGCATTTTTTGTATTATACATGTAGAAGCACAGCTCCAGGCCCGGACTGGCCATCGGGCACACCGGGCAAATGCCCGGTGGGCCGCGGTGTCCATGGGCCGAGGCCGGCAGGGGAGGTCCCAGGATCTCCCCTGCCGGTCTATGCAGGGCCAGCGCTATCCGAGCGCCGGCCCCGCTGTTTTCCATGGAGGGCCGGTGGGGAGATCAAAGATCTCCCTCACCGGCCCACATGCTGTCAGATCTGGCCGCCGGCGGGGAGAGAGGGAGGGAGCCAGCCAGCCAGGAGAGGAGGACCCGGCGGAGCTCTAACTTGCAGCTCCGCCGGGTTCCTCTCGCGAGATCCGACGCGTTGCCATGGCAATGCGCAGGATCTCGCGAGAGTGAACTCTAGCCCCACAGGCTAGAGTTCACTCACCCACGAGGACCACCAGGGAACACTGCCTCCCCGCCTCTCAGTCACCAGCGTTCCGGTCCCCCCCTCCCAGGCTAAAGGTAAGAAGGGAGGGGGGGATTTAATGCCTGTTTTTTTGTTTGTTTTTTGCCCCCCCTACACACACACAATCCATTCTAACATTTATACAGCACTCTCACACACAGCAATCTCACACCCATCACACACAGCACTCTCACACCCATCACACACAGCACTCTCACACACAGCACTCTCACACCCATCACACACAGCACTCTCACACACACAGCACTCTCTCACAGCACTCTCACACACACAGCACTCTCTCACACAGCACTCTCTCTCACACAGCACTCTCACACAGCACTCTCACACACACAGCACTCTCACACCCATCACACACAGCACTCTCTCACCCATCACTCTCTCACCCATCACTCTCGCACACACGGCACTCTCACACACACATACTGCACCCCTCACATACACATAGAACCCCCCCAACACACTGCCCCACACACATACACAATACTTCCAAATATTTATATACACATATACATACACACTACACTCTTAACATACACACTCTGGATCCCCTATACACACACTAGATTCCTCGTAAGCAAACACATACTACACCCCTAAACACACACTACATCACCTATATACACACACACACACTATAGCCTGTATGCACACACTTGCTATATCCCCAATACACACATTCTCTACAGCCCATAGCCACATATGCATCACATTACACCACTTTACACCACAAACACAACATGACTAAAACCAACCTTATTACACAATACCACACCACAATCAGCTCACTCTACACACACACAATACCACAAGCAGGCTCCAAACACATGCACAATACTCTTTCCTGGCATTTTTGTCTCCTGGTATCCATTTATAGAGACACCAGAGACAAGTTGCAAGGAAACACAGTGCAAACATGTTTTTAAATTTGCTTGCACTGTGCAGAACAAATACATGGCTTTTTTCTCATGCTAGAGCTCTTCAGCAGAGCTCTGCGCATGGTCTGCCCTGGGAGAGCATTGAACCAACATGCTCACTTTGAGAGGGGGCGTGTTTGTCATTGGTGATGACAAAACACACCTCCTCTGCCCCGCCCCCTTCTTAGTGGGCCGCTGTGTTAAAAGAATGCCCGGGTCGAATTTTTCTCCCAGTCCGGCACTGCACAGCTCTATTAAAATAGGCAAGGATAGAGTGAGATGATTAGTAGAATAGAACTGTTGTGAAGTTTAAGAGGAGAATAGGAAAATACCACTGGATGATGAAGTGTAACTGCTGCAGGATATCAGTTATGCTCGATTAAGGTAACAAAGCTCACTGAATTATAGTAGAGGCAAGGCTAACACTAGTGAAAGAGCCTAGCAGCAGGCAAGTTCATTAGATTGCTTGACCGATTGCTAGAGATGGAGAGTTCCAGCCCCAGCCACCATCAGCTGTCCCAATGGAGTCTCCACTCATCGCCTCAGGCCATGGACAATCCGGCTTTGACCCCTCCAGGATTTTTTCCCGCACTTCGTGGCTTGTTTCCGCTAGCTGTTGGTCTGGCATCGCCAGTGATATGCTTGATAGAACTCAGGTGGAGGTATCTCGTATAGAAACTGAGGGAGCTTGTTCCCTGGTAGTCGGGTTGAGTTGTGACGAGTGGAACAGCCAGAGCGCTGAGGGCCAAGCTTGCGCCGTGGCAGGCTCCTGTGCCTTCTACTGCGCAACAACCCATTAGAGGCTCTAAGTAAGTGACCATGCATGCGGCATCGGCCAGCAGGAAGGATTCGGGAAACTGTGACTTATCCCGCAGGACTGCTGGTGAGTCTACGGTCTGCAATCCTCTCCCATAAAGCTGCACAGATGCGGTCAAAAGCCAGAAATATCGGGTCTTCGCATGTAGTTGACTGCAGAAAATCACCGGAGGACATCGGCCCAGGGGGGTGGACATCTTGATAGCTAGGCCCCAACACTCCGGCACTTCGTTTAGCTAGCTGATATGCACACAACAAGATGCCTGTGGGGACCGAGATGACCCCCGCCGGTCCAGAGGGGGGGGGGACTACGTTCAAGGCCAACGAACCCCAAATCAAGTACGAGGGACAGCCACCTCCTCTACTTTGATTTTGGCTGTAGGCCACAAAGCAGTCAAACGTGGGCCGTGTCCGCCAACCATTGGTGTAGAGGTGTCGGACCAATTGTGGTCTGAATAAGTGGTTTTTTTTGTGGAGCTCTAACACCATGTGACCATCTCAGTCAGCAGTCAGGCCAAGCCCCCCAAGTTCTGTTTTTAAATCATATGTCATTGCCACTCTATCTGTATCACTGCACTGCAAAGTGCAAGTCTCTTGACATTTTCTTTCTCATATATGCAATGACTGTCGCATTTACTCTCGATGATGTCAGTAAACATTTGTATGTCTATCAATGCACTACAAAAATAAAGGATTATAAAAAAAAGTGTGTGTGTGTGTTTGTGTATATATATATATATATATTCAAATAGGGTGTACTTTATTTCTTGTGTGTGTATGTGTGTATGTTTTCATATATATATATATATATATATATATATATATATGAACACACACACATACATACACACACACACAAGAAAGAAAGTACACCCTCTTTGAATTCTTTGAAAAATAATGGGGGTTTAGTTACAGTATATGTGTCACGGCTCCCCGCACTGAAACATAGCGGCCACCTTCTACTCCGGTCCCCAGCGAGTACGGCGTTCCTAAAGACCCCGGCCGCTGCGGTTCCGGTTTTAATAGGAGACTTACCCCTGCCCCAATCAAAAATGGCGCCACCGTGCGTGCGACTTCACGTAATAGACACGCATGCATGTTTTGAGGTCAGAGACAGCCAATTACAGCCTAAGGAGGCTTATTTAAACCTAAATTACCTTTCTGTCAGTGCCCTGTCATGGTTTCCACTAGCTGGTTATTCGAGAGTGTGTTCCTGATTCCGTTTTTCTGGTATTTGACTTTGGCTAAGTTTTGACTTCCCTAAGTTCTGGTTTCGTTGACTTCTGGCTTTCCTCTTCATTGTGTCCCTTTCTGTGTCCCTATATTGTAAAAGTGATTATAGTAACCACACTTAATCCCAGCAGTCACCGGTGCTCCAGAGCAGGACCAGCAATCCCATCACGTTTAGGCAACAAAAAAGTTCACCAGGCACTCAAAGTGTCAAAGCCGCAGGCAGATTTAATGGATCAAAAAAAGAGAAGCAATGTTTCGACCTACTACGAGGCATTTTGTAAGGCATTTTGAAATTGGGATTGGCTAATTGGACACCATGTGACCTTAAAGGGGAGGATACAAAGGACTCACTAGAAATTTAAAGGCAAAGGATTCCTGACGCTACACTACAGCTGACTGAGGAAGCTCACAGATGAGTGAAACGTGTATTGGCTGATTTGGACTTTTAAATTGGATTTTTTATTTTATATACCGATATTATTGTGTTTTTATTTGTAACCAATACAAATAGTTATTCCAAACCAAGTCCTTGGAGTCTCTAGGAACCTTTATTGGGGAATGCCATCCCAAGAAAGTGGCACACTGCTGATTATCCTTAGAGCTAGAAACTGAAGGCTCTTAAATAGGTGAGCGTAATACTAACCATAAGTGTATTATTAGCATTTTGCACAGTACCACACGTTTGGTCGCCTACTTCTCTTTTCTGTATTTTTGAAAGAATATCATTGAGAGTGTGTGTTGCTGCCCAAAGAGCAAGAAGGTTTACTTTATGGATCAAATACCATATAAGCTCCAGACCATGTGAGTGGTTCTAGTTATTTACCACCAATTACTATCTAAGATTATCTGCACTATATATCCCTGTTTTTTTCTTTTTCATATATACCTTCAAATCTGTATCATCAAGTGTGTTGTTACACTCAATTGATGGGGTAAGTGAACCCCTACACATCTTTTTATTTGTATAGCACTCCACTAATTAGTATATGTTTTAAACCATATATTCTCTGGGCATTTAAGATTGATTGTGGAAATAAGGTTATTCCACTTTATGTATTGAGCTGCTTTTTGTTTAGGCACTATATTGTACCACCTACTACCTCTGAAGAGAGAGAGTTTTAGTTTTTCTTTGGTATCTTACTAGCGTAATAGCCGTGTGGCTTGAGCCTTCTATAATGGCGTCGGCAGAGGCCTACTACTCACAGACGTCGGATGGTGATAGCCTCTCTGCAGAACTGCCAGCTCTCCCGAAGGTCAGGTCAGAGAGGAAGTTTCTACCCTTACTAGCCGTATTGTCACAGTGGGGACACCAGTCTAGTGCAAATGGCGACTGATGCTGCACTAAGCGCACTAGAAACACGCTGCACTGATCTGACCACTGATCTGACAGCGCAAATGGCTAATATGGAAGATAAAGTTAAAGCACGCAATATGAGGATACGTTGCATATCTGAGGCAGGCTCATTGCCACTCTGTTGACACCTAAGCAAACAAGGCTGCCAACGCTCCTCAGGGAACTGTTCGAGATGTGTTACTCAAACTTGCATGAGACTCTGATAGCGGAAACTTCTCCAGGCAAACACTAACATGGCAGAGGTCCTTTTGAAGATTATATGCCATTCCATACAAATGGGGATCACACCGCCTCACAGTATGTGTATGTGTGTGCGTGTCAGTATGTCTGTATGTGTGTTCAGTGTGTGTGTGTGTCAGTATGTCTATGTGTGTGACAGTATGCCTGTCTATGTGTGTGTGTCAGTATGTCTGTCAGTGTATATGGCTGTGTAAGTGTCACGACCATCGTCGTGCCATATGTGAAATTGTGTTCTTGGGTCTGGCTGGGATTGAACCTGGGTCTTCTGCATCCCAGTCAGTGACCTTACCTTTGGCTCCTGTTTCTCCTTGTGTTCTGTTCTCTGAGTCTCTACTCCTGGACCGCTGCACACCTGTTCCTGATTTCCAGATAAGTGGCTGTTACCAACCTATTTAAACCCTGCCTTGCTTGAGTCTCATTGTCAGATTGTTTTGTTCCTGTTTGTGAATCATTGCTGTTCGTCTGACATACACACACAAGAAACAAAGTAGACCCTTTTTGAATTCTTTGAAAAATAATGGGGGTTTAGTTACAGTATATGTGTCACGGCTCCCCGCGATTCTGCCGGCGGGGCCTTCACTGAAACATAGTGGCCACACTGACAGAAAAATATTATACTTACCTTGGTCGCGGCAAACCTCTGCCGACCTCCTTCTATTCCGGTCCCCAGCGAGTACAGCGTTCCTAAAGACCCTGGCCGCTGCGGTTCCGGTTTTAATAGGAGACTTACTGCCGCCCACATAAAAGATGGCACCAGCGTGCACGCGAAGTCACGTAATAGATGTGCATGCACAATTTGAGGTCAGAGACAGCCAATTACAGCCTAAGGAGGCTTATTTAAACCTAAATTACCTTTTGATCCTTTGCCCGGCTTCTGTTTCTGCCTGATTGCTGCCTGTCTTGACTATTCATTTCGACCACGACTATTCTTTTTGGATTGCCCTTGCCTGTACTCCATTCCTGGAAGCACTGTGTCTTATTAGCCCCAGTGCACTGTTTCACAGCCTTGGAGATTTCTACCTTGAGTCTCCTTGGTTTGTGGGAGAGGCAGGGCCTAGAAAATGCTTTGCCCAGGGTCCTATTCATATTATAGACGGCCCTGGTCCCAGGGACATTCACAAACATACACAGATATTTGGACTCACTGGCTGCTTGACGCTTACCACCCAGACTTCCAGGCTTTGCTGACGTACGGTTCCCCAATAGACATGGTGGATAGGTTGGGGACGACGGTGCAGATACAGCCAGTTGGGGGGACAGACCCCAGGTCGCCGGCAGATATGAAGAGCTTTCTGGTACATGTTGAGGTGCTGGATCGGGTTTGACAGTTTACCTGCCTGCTGCCTTAGTGACCTCAACCATGCCCTGCTGCAATACAGTAGTGTGTTAAGGATGGGTCTACCCAGCCTCCCTTAATTGATAGTTGATTGGGACCTTGGGGAAGTGACATCCTTTAAAAGTGCCTATATCACCTGTTTATACAAGCATTGATGTAGGACTGAAGGGTCTACGCTTTCCTTATTACGTATGACATTGTCTCAGTCCTGCGTGCCTGTTTGCATTTTTACTGTGGCTTGCCTTGAGATAGGTCAGATATATCATTCTCTGTTTATGTGAGCATAATGATTATTGATGAAGGACTCAAGGGTCCCAGTTTCCGCTTTGCTTCTTTTTGATGAAGTTACCTCCGTCCTGAGTGGCTGTTTGCAAACGTATTGTAGGCTTTCTAAAAATTAATGTTACCATTGATGCATGCTTTCCTTGATAACCGCACGTGATTTACATGTGGTAACAATTACATTTTTGTTCACAAAATTGATATTCCAAGCACCAAACACCTTACGTAAACCACACTGTCACCGTGTGGGGACTTTGTAGAATTTGCAGAGACCTTCCACTGGTGATATTGCCACTGGGGGTCCAGTGGCTGAGGGTGCAGACAAAAGAGGTGAGTTATAAATACCAGAACCTTTTATGAACCTTCTATCTTTATGAAATACTTATTTTTCAAGGGGCAACAGGTTGACAGTGCCACTTTTTTTTGTCTATAGATCATGCACCTGCATTCTCACTGCTTAGTTCTCTGCCATTTAAGAGTTAAATCGCTTTGTTTATGCAGCCCTAAATCACACCTGCTACAGAAGGATTAACTAATACTGCATTACTAAAAATAAAGTTAAAACTATTATGTGCAATACATTAAAAACCTTTGTGGGTTTTTTTTTCTTTATTCGGTTGACTTTGTGACTGGTATTGCTAGCATTCTAAATATGACAACCAAATGTAAAGGTTACCATGCAGGAGTTTGTGTTAGAGCGGCTCTCCCATCCTGCAGGACATGTGTGGCATTTCACAGTCAGCCACAACATTCCTAGCATTCTGATCATTGCATGAACACAAGAACAAATGTCTAAAGGTACTTGTTGCTGGGAAATAAAATGCTAAAGAAGAGTTAGGCCAAGTACTATTTTTAAAATAAGTGCATTCTTTTCTGTTGCATCATTGTTTTATATATTTAATGTTATAGCAGAAAATCAAACCTGTAAAGTTTGTAAACTGATTTGCTCCACTTTCCAAGAAAGGCCTCACCTTTCTTCTTATACCCAAATACTAGTCCTCTTGACCTTATCCAATCTCAGCATTATCTCCCTCTTTTACAAACTATCACACTTATTGCTCTTTAGGAATTTTCTACACTCATCATTCCCCAATTCTCCTATCAAACCCATCTTCTCCTTATAAAAACAGTGTGTATAACAAAGATACCCTGTTCTTGTCCTAAATTGCATTTTAGTTGTGTTTATTGTTAGTAGGTCATATAACATTTCTCAGAATACCCCCACTCTTGGCCTCACCTCTACTCACACAAATACAATTAAAGTGTCCCTCTTCGCCAACTTGATATGTTGGGAGGTATGCATCTGGGGTTGGGAGCTGAGAGGGACAGAGTGGGGTTCAAAGGAATTGTGTGTCTATGTGTCTATACATCTGCTTGCACCTATCACAAATTATGGATCTCTGAAAGCTTGTCCTTTTAAAATGTTGTTAGT